CTACTTTTTATTGATCTATATATATGGCCGCCGTTGATATCATTATATTTTAATAATAGTTACCTCTTCTTTAAACAACAAAGATCCAAATTGCTAATTGATCCAAATCTTAGAGGACCAAGTTGATAAAAAAAAATTTTATATACTTAAAGGATCAAACCAATATATAATTGAGACAAAGTGAAAAAAATAAAAGTTTAATAATAATTGAATATCAATAAATAAATGTATAAATTAAATATTCTGTTGTGAGAGCAAAATTGGGAGAATTTTTCTTTATAGGCCATGGCGCTTTCTTTTAGGGTTATCTGGATATTGAATAACAGAGAGGCTAAGAAATATATATATTCTATCTGTCTCGTATCTTAAAAAGCAATCCCAAAACATGACGCTGCATATATTATTATTACTATTATTATTATTATTATTATTATTAAATTACATTTTTTATGGTTCTTTTGGCCTTTTCCCTTTCTCATTCTTATAAAATATTTAAGAAAAAAGCAATAGTTTTTGTGCTTTGAAATAATAAATAATAGTGTACAGTAATATGTATGTACTTCACCAACGACTGAAATCTGAAACCCTAATCTCTCTGCACTGTGTGATGCCAGGAACCGACATCGCATTCTGTTCGCGATCGAATTTTCCAGCTTATAAAGTTCTCATTATATTCCTTCGCCAACTCGCGCCCACCATTTGTATTTATAATTTTGTATATATTCATGAATATACATACATACACACGTATGTCACACACAGTCATACATACGTATTCGATTAATTTAATTAACAGATTGATTTTGCTGTTCATTATTAAGATTTCTGACTGACTAACTAATTGAGTTGAATAAAAATTGTGTTGATCAATTTATTTTTTATTTTTTGGATTACAATGGCAAACTAACAGTTTAAGATAATGAATAACAATGTTCACAACTTGTTCATATATAATAAGAAGTGTTATTTAATTTGTTATAAATTTTATTATATATCATAAATAATAGAGGGCAAGACTTATATACTTTTAGCCTTATATACTTAATATATTTTTTATCAAATCAAATAAAAATAAATTATGTTTTCATTTTAATAACAATATATTATGTATTTATCTTTATTTGTAATTAATTTTTTTGAAGGGGGGCTGGATATGATTTTTTTTAATAAAATTGACAGGAATCTTGGTTAAAAAAAAAATTGACAGGAATAGTTCCTGCGTGCGTGCATGCATATATACAAATTGATTTTGAAAAATGTTAATTTTGGTGTGCAACTTTATGTAGGCTTTCAATTTACCCCATCCTAGTGGATGAGTTTCTAGATCCGTCCTTGTTGGTACATGTACTTGCATGAAAATAGGTTGACACAAAAAGCATTAAACTCAAGCAGCACATTCGTTGCTCATCACTCTAAATCAATTTGGACCATTTAAATTTAATATAGATGATTTAAAGTAAATTACTTTTTATTTTTTATTTTTAAATAAAAAATTGTAAAATTTTAAATAAATATATTTATTATTAACATATAGCATTCATATTTAATCCGATGAGTCTAAATTTAATATTAATTTTTTTATAATTTTTTATACATTGATCATATAGATTTAGTTTGTATTGTTTATATTCAAAATTTTTAACTTGTTATAATGTTAGATACAAAACAATTCATAGTAAATCTATATCGTCAATTTATAAAAATTAATATTAAATTTTGACCGGTCTAATTAAATATAAATGGTACATGTTAATAATAAATATATATATTTAAAATTTTATAAATTTTTATTTTAAAAATAAAAAAGTTTAATTTGGATCATCCAAATTAAATCTGGACGGTTTTGATTGGTTCAGGGGTGATGCTCATCACCCTTAATGAGCACTGAATGTGCTTCCATTAAGCTCATGATTTAAATTGGCCCATTTAATGAATGTGATATGTATTTTTTTAGTCTTATATATAAGTCATTTTTGACTATTTTACTAAAATCAAAAAATGATAGTTAAATTATTGATATCATATATGTAATTTTTTTTTCAATTTATCCATATTAAATGTATTGTCCATAAAAATAACTCTCTCTCTCATATAACTTTTTACTTTATATTCATCAATAATTGTGAAGGGATAGGATTTAAAAATAATAATTAATGATTCATAATTTTATGCAAAGTGACTTATAAAAAAATGATGAATATAAGATTGGAAGAAGTATTATCTCTGCAGGCATGCATATATTTTTGGGAGAATGACAAATAAGGATGTTATAACAATATTAATATCAAATTAGGATTTTTTAACATTGACATTCTCAAATTTGAGTATTCATTTTATTATGTTTTAATATTAAAATTTTCAATTCAGCATTAATGTTATTACAAGGTCCTTACTTATTATTCTTTCTATATTTTTTTCAAAAGAAAAAAAAGTTAATCAATGATGTATGCATGCACTTCATGAAAATGAAAAAGATTAAATGGTAAACTAGCCTATAAACTATAGATTTCAGAATGTTTGAAATTTTAAACTTATTTTTGATATAATATTTTTCTTTAATATTTTAAAATGATGCAATATGACCCTTACCATTAACAAATGCTAATTTTAACCAAAAAATTTAAAAAAAGGATCAATAAAATTTTTGTAGTCATTTTCTATAATTTTTTAGCCCTTTTCTACAATTTTTTGTCCTAATCTGTAGTTTTTAGGTCCTTTTTTTAATCATTTTTTGGTCAATTAAATGATAATAAAGTTAACTTTTGTTCACTATAGAGGCAACATTATACTATTTTCAGAAATTGAAAGAGAATGTTGTATAAAAAATAAATTTAAAATCTCATACGCTCTTAAACTTATAATTTAAAGGTCAATTTGCCATTTTGCCCCAACAAAAATGCTAATGACAATATATATATATATATATATATATGCATGCATACTTTTGATGATGTAGATATACTTATCTGGTCCTATTTATAAGTTATTTTTAACATATTTTGTTGGAATTAAAGAAAACCTTAAAATCATAAACTCTATCTAAAAATTTAATAATTTTTCAACTGTGTCTTTATTAAATATACATATTTTAATAACATATTTTTCTCTTCAACATTTAATAGAGAACAAATGAGAAAATTTGTAATAACAATTTAATAAGATAACTTATAAATATGGCAAAAAAGAAAAAAAAAATCTTCTCTCTATCCTATAAGTAGGACAAGAGGAAGTACTGTGGTGGAAGCAGCATATATAACATAAGTGGCCCTTAGGGAAAGCATAGAGCCGTTTGATTGTGGGACACTAATACCTTAAACGTACAGTGGAGAGGAACCTTATATTACAACAATAGAAATGGTATTTTTATTTGCTTTTGCAACTCCTCCTCCTCCTCCTCCTCCTCCTCAAGTTGCTATCATCAGACGTGGCGCCATGTGAAAGTTAACAACCACACGCACACAACACACGGACAACACACAGAATATAAAGTGCTCATAGTACTGCAGAAAACAACCAAGATTCCCTAATCACAGCCACACGCAACACAGGTCGGAAAGAAACTAAAGGCAAGTAGCTTTAGATTTGTCCACTGCATTTCCTTTTTTTCCAGACTGTTCCTGATAATACTACCAGCTACTATGTCTTCAATCCAAATCTTATTTGGTTCTTTACTATATCCCATTAAATGAATCTTTCTCATCAATTTGTGCTTAGCACCCATAGGTCTGTCTGCAAATATATAACTTCAAAGTTATTCCATTGGCCGAAAAGAAAAATAACTATTAGATTTTGTCAAGTCATTTTAAGTTGGGTCTCTAATGGTATTCCTAACATGTCAATGGTACTGTGATCAACAGTACAGTATTCCCAACACGTTATTAATGCCACTGCTCAATCGCATTCCTAACATATCAATCTTAACAAAAAGTCTTATCCTATTAGATTGGCTCATGCAAGTAGTTTGACAATATCAAATGAATAAAAAAAAATGTGTTCAAGCATGTAATGGATGTAATGTTCATTTAACATACGTACCAAAACTTTTAATCACAGTTCCACATTTCCCTTTCTGGAATTGGATGCGCATCTTTGATAGAGGTCCCAATTGGATAAATTCAACTTTTCTTCCACCTTAGCAGATGCTTCTGTTAAAGGTAGAAAAGCCAGAAACTCCCAAACATAGATTTCTTTTCCTTTTTTTTTTTTTTTGGTAGAAAAAGTTGGTGTACACTGTACACAATCACCAAATATTTATACACCCTCTTAAAAAAGTATTTTACCGTGATGAAATAAATCTAGTTAAATGGGTTCATTAATCAACTCATTCCTATCCAAAATTTTCTCATCAAACAGGGATTTCAATCATCTCCAAACTTGGAAACAAGTTAACACTGTAAAATTACTTAGAGTGTTAAATACAAATAGATCAGGAAAAATATGACACATTTAATCAAGTCTCATATAGATCTCATCTCCTTTCTTTGATAAGTTTTCAGATGATTCATGAGCTTGGCTGAAGCAAAAAAATGAAAAATCATATGCATTAACAGTAGTAATTGCTGACAAGAGAGTTGGCTGATTTAACGAAGTAACAAATTTTTATCTTGTTCATTGAGCCAACTCTCGCTAGAACTTTGTCTTGAGGCTTCTGTCTTGTATAAATTTTGAGGCTTCTGTCTCGTATAAATTTTCCTGTTCTTCAAACAGAAAGAAAAGTAACCACTAGGAAGGGATATGCATATAAAAATAACTCAGCCGTACCAAGGACACACTGGTATTTCCGTATGCACATATAGATTCGTTCTTGTGAAGGAACTTACTGATCAATCACTTTCAAATAAATGATCAAAAGAGAGAAATTTAGAAACAGACAAAGCAAATAATATCTAATCGAACATTCCTTCTATACCCCACCACCCCCTATCATTTTCTCAATTAGCTTGCTCAGCCATGCCTATACTCTCCCAAACACCACTATATATACCTGAAGGAGCCTCCCTCCTCCTCATCTCATCCCACACCAATTCCTACTTCAAAATCTTCATTGAATCCATTTGGCAATAATATATACTTCTGTCCTCAACCACTCAGGCTACATTTGAGCATTTCTTAGAGTTTCTTGTGCTTAGTACTGTAAGTCAGAAATGGACAGGGTGACAAAGATGGCATCAGAGAGGCCTGTGGTGATCTTCAGCAAGAGCTCCTGCTGCATGTGTCACACCATCAAGACCCTCTTCAGTGACTTTGGGGTGAACCCAATGGTTCATGAGCTCGATGAGATGGCTCGAGGGAAGGAAATTGAGCAAGCCCTTTTGAGCCTTGGATGCAGCCCATCGGTGCCAGCTGTATTCATCAGTGGCGAGCTCGTGGGCGGAGCCAATGAAGTCATGAGCCTTCACCTTAACCGCTCCTTGATCCCAATGCTCAAAAGAGCAGGAGCTCTTTGGGTATGAGAAAGTACTACTGACCTTATCAGTCATATCAGGCAATAAAAGTCATGTTTTTTTTATAATAACTATATATGAGATTATAATGCAGGCATCGGATATAGAGTGACATATATCCATATTAGTGTTGGATATAGAGTGATATATATCCATATTAGTGCATAGCTTATGTTACTAGAGTTTTGTAATAAGAAGGCTAACATGATCGACTGAGTTGTAATGTAGCCTTTTTCTTTTTTTTTTGGGGTACTTCAATGTGGCTTTATGGCCTTGTGGAGTTTATAACAGTGTGCTTTAGCCATCATGTCAGCTGTGGCTTGTTATCAGCATTTATCATCTCCAACGTGTAGAGCTAAAAGCCAAAACATAGAGAAAAGAAGTCAAGTTTCTTACATTAACCATTTAAATAACAAAGGAAACTAAATATGCAGGAAGCTGGGAGAAAAATTCTTAAGTATATTAGCTAGTTGAATAACAGAAGAAATTAAATATGCAGGAAGCAGGGAAAAGAAAAATTCTTGAGTAAACTCAGTCTCAAAAAAACATATCAAACCATCTATACATTGCATGTGAGTATCTCAAGAAGACTTTCATGGGATTTCCTTTTGACGGTTATATATTTGTTTATGATTTGTTTGAATTACTTATCATTAATGGACTGGATTTACTTCAGATTCTCTCGAACAGGAAAAGTGAAACCACCGGTAGCCATGTAAGATTATTCCCACTACCCTATATGAGATAAAATAATTGGTTTTAATCCTTTGTCCTTCAACCCTTTTAGCTGGATTTGTAGTTTGTAATCTTCTAAAAACTATCTAAACAAAGTGGCTTATTATTATATTTTAGAAATAGCAACAAATATTAATATAGGACATTAAGCATATATTGTTCTTCCACTTGGTTTATGCAGGACAAAGGCATCAAATGAAATCACGATGCAGGTAGGCGTGCAAGTGACACATGCAACCATTTTAATTCCTCTGTCACATCAACAAATAGATGCAAAAATGAAAGAGAAAAAAAATAATAAAAAACTAAAGGAGAACCCAAAAATGGACAAAGTTGGGTGGCTCACAAAGGAAAGTGTGATTTAGGAACAAGCAAGATATTAAAAACCAAATCGGTCAGAAACTAGTTCAAGGGTTAAGGATCAAAACCATAATTGAACTATGATCAAACCGGTTATAAACAAAGCATTTATTAAACCAATTAAAACACTAATTCAACAGTTTATTAGTTCAACCGAGTGGGTTGATCCTAGATTTTCGTACTATGGAAACAAGCATAATAAGATGACAACTATATTTTTTCACTTGTAAGTTTTAGAAAACTCTGTTTTTCCTGAATCGTCCTTGTTCCAAATGAATCCAACTTCCAAAGGATTACCCACGCACATCTTCAGTCTAAGAAGTAAAGAAGGAAACGAATTTTAAATACAGAGAACACGAATCAGGACAATGAGTTTTTAACTGGAAGCAGACAGATTACTTGAAAGCCATTACTGATAATAGTGTAGCCAGAATTTAAATTGAAGTGACTCATTACTATAGTTGTTGACTTGAGGAGTAGAAATAAATATATGCAGATAGAAAGACATACACAGATTAAGAAGAGATGCAAGGTAGGAGCAGTATCTCCACATTAAAATATGAGGCTCAGTTGGCTTTGATATAACTCCAAGGTCCATCATTTACACTTGGAAAATTGTCTTTCCCGCTCTAGTATTGAACTGAGTCGAACTGCTGAAGATAAGCCAAATGAAAATGACTTATATGCAAGCAGCAGTAATCTTATAGATAAAGGCAACCGATATACTTTTAACAAATGAAATGATGAGTTAACAAAATTTACCTTGACTTGACCACCATGATTTCTTGCATATATATCAATTTCTTCTTTTTATGGCCCTTGCACTTTCCAAGATATAGTGACACTGCCTTTTTGAACCCACTGCATGACTGTCATCAGTTTAAAAACTCAGATTGCAGAAAGTCAATCAAATTGGTAAAGAAGTGGCTATATAGTAGTGAGCCCTGCTCCAAATATTAAAAAGCTGATCTTCTCAGCGTGCGTAATATTCCTTTCTAATTTCCTCCATCATATGTACGACAAAATTAAAGAATCTCTAGTTTCTTTGCGTTTTTTTTTTTTTTGGGGAAAACATAGTACCTAGTTGCATTCATAAGTATCAAATACTAAAAAATTATACATTAACAGATCATCTTTAAAAGACTTCAAGTTTAATTAGATGACTACTCATTCTTTTATGAGAAAATTAATCTTATGGTCCTTGTAGTTTTGATCCAATTGCAACTTAGTCCCTCAACTTTGACTTATTATAACTCAATTCCTGAAGTTTTGACTCAATTGTAAATTAATCCCTAAACTTTGCTTCTTGCAATTTAGTTCCTAAAATTTTAACCTTTTAAATATTGATCTCTGTATTTTAGAAAATAAAATTATGAAGATTTAAAATATTTTGAAATTTATTACTAATATTTTTATATTATTAATACCTTTTAATCTTTATAAATATTATAAATTTTAAAATTTTAAAATATTTTTAATATTTATAATTTTATTTTTTAAAATAGATAGACCAATATTTAAAAGATTGAAACTTCAAGGACTAAATTATAAGAGACAAAGTTCAAGGATTGATTTACAACCGAGTTAGAACTTCAGCGACTAAGTTATAACGAGTCAGAGTTAAGGGACTGAGTTACAATTAAGTTAAAACTATAAGGATCAAATGATTAATCTTTCCTTCTTTTATTTTATGAGACTGATAAATCAATTTGCATCCAGCACTACTAAGATTGTCTTCCTCGTTCAGTTTCATTATTGCTACAGCATTTTATCTGTGATAACTTCAGCCATACAGGTTATACATGATACATCTAAATGCTTCAGTTTTGGGCTTCATCCTCCCCAAATATGCATTGGAGCTTCCAGGACACTACATTGGGGAAAAAAGAACTGTGGTTGCTACCCAAAAGCTTCTGTGCACAAAACCTATGTCATTTTTTCATTCTCAGTCTCAATCAAGTTGATGTATAATATAGATTGAAGGGATAGAAGATGGTAGAAGCTACTGGAGCATCAAGGTACTGTCATAAATACCCATACATTTTTGTTCTTCCAGTCATGGAGGAACCTAATTAAATCCAACTACATCCAGGTATTTTGTTGAGTTTCTTTCCTCCCAAACCCTTTCTCAACCTCTCAGCATCATCCCATTTACCAACAGAAGCATATATACTTGAAAGAAGAGAACAATAACCGCTTATGTCACTCTCCAACTTAAGGCAATGCTGAACAGCAATTTCCCCCAATTCCACATTGTTGTGTAATCTGCAAGCAAGAAGCAGAGCTCCCCAAAGTCCAGAATTTGGTTGCATTGGCATATTGATTATGAGCTTATATGCTTCATCCAACCAGCCCACCCTTCCTAAAAGACCAACCACGATTCCATAGTGATCAACTGAAGGCGCAAGTCCATAATCTTTCATGGATTTGAAGCAGCGGTATCCTTCTTCAACTAATCCAGCATGATTATACGCAGTTAAGAGGCCAGTGTAGGTAACTAAATTAGGGCAAATACACTCTGTAAGCATCTGTTCATATAACTTTATTGCATCGAATGGCCTACCATTTATTCCACACCCATGTATCATTGCAGAATATGCAACCAAATCCCTCTTTCCCAGACCATGAAATAGCTCATATGCAACGTCAATGCTTCCAAATTTGGCATACATGTCAATTAAAGCAGTAACTAAATGATCATCCAAAACAACTCCAAAGTCTTTCATGCATGACTCAATCCAGTGCCAATGTCTTATATCACCTAATTGCGAACAAGCTGATATAATACTTGCCAAAGTCATCTTATCTGGATGTATATTGACATCTGGTTTTAGCATGTCATTTAATAGGGCGAGGGCTTCCTTTGGCTTGCTATTCTGAGCATAGCAAGCTATCATAGCATTATACGAAAGCAAATCTTTGTCATCCATCTGATCGAAAAGCTTTCGAGCAGACTCAACATCCCCAGTTATTGAGTACCCAGAAATCATTATCGTCCAAGAAACACTGTTTCTAACTGGCATTGTATCAAAAAATTCTCTTGCAGTTACTATGCTCCCGAAATCAATGTAGCCACTGATCATTGTATTCCAAGAAGCCAAGTTTCTCTCAGGCATTTGTCGAAATAAGAAATGAGCGTGGTCCATATTTCCTGTTTTTGCATACCCTGAGATCATAGAGTTCCAAGACACGGCATCTTTCTTAGGAATCTCATCAAAAAACAATCGAGCCACCGCCAAGTTCCCATCTTTCAGATACCCAGATAACATAGAATTCCAAGAAACCACATTTTTCTGGGACATTTCATCAAACACCTTACGTGCAGTTTCTGTATCACCCACTTTCGAGTACAAATCGAGAAGGGCCGTCTGAGCATAAACACAACTAGAGAATCCATAGATGTGGACTTGCCCATGAATGGACATACCACCAAGTTTATACTCCAGCCTGGCACATGATTTCAAAGCGGAGGATATAGCATATGAATTTGGACACAGTCCAATTTTCTGCATTTGAACGTACAGAGAAATTGCTTCGGTGAACTGGCCCTTCTGAGACAAGAACCGGATGGTGCAACCCCATGAGAAGGAATCCGGATCACGCAAATGCCGAAGAATTAGTTGCACATACATGGCTATACTTTTATAGTTCCTGACATCCCAGAGAAGAATGTGATGTACTAAAAGAGGTTCTAGATGATCTAGACCATTAAGCAGGATATGGGCATGGATTTGTTTAGCCTGCTTCAGAGTTGAACAACTCTTTAGCAAGGCGATCAAGTTAGGAACAAGCATGGTGCACTTTTAACGAACTTGAATCATTTGGAGTGCTATTTACATTGAATTAGTGGAAGTCAATGCTTTTGGAATGGCTCCGATGTTTGATCAATTGATACAAATGGTAAATTCTATCAACATGTGGAGAAAGGAGCTACATGTAGGCGTGGAGCTCGAATCCAAGTGTTCAAGACATTGTGTTTTACTCAATGTCTTCAGACTAATATTGTATTGAAAAAATTAACGGTTTACAGTTCGCATGGTTCAACTGACTTAGATTAATGGTCAAATCGATGATGTAATAATTAAATTAAAAAAATTATATATGTATATAATAATTTAAATATAAAAAATACATATGAAATTGCTATTTAACTTAAAAAATCAAATATTTTAAATTTATCATGACTTAAGAAGCCATATTATACAATATAATATCAAATGATTAAAAAAATTAATTATTTTAAAAAAATTGATAAAAAATAAAAAAAGTTTTTTTTAACAGTTCGGTTTTTAAAAAACTGAATTCGATTCTCGATTCGATCGCTGGTTCAAAACAGTTCAACTTCTAAAATGGTTTTCACAAATGAACCAAATCGGAGTCCAGACCAATCGACAGTCAGATTGGTCTGACCGTCCGGCTCGATTCGGTTTTAAAAACACTAATTTTAATAGAATTAATAATAATAATAATTAATAATACCAACATTTCAAATGATACAATTACACCACCATTTGCTGATTGTCTTTTATGTTTTTCTTTTAATATTTGATCCATATTGCAAAGATTTAACACAATTTCGTGTCCGCTGTCGAGAATCTAATATAATCTTTACTTAGATCCACGATTAGTTATAAAAAAAAAAAATTGCCCTCTCCAAATTGACTGTAAGCAAATTTTACTAAAGTCACACAATTTAAGAAATAAAGTTGAATAAGCATAATAATTGTCTATGAAATTTTTTTTGACCAGATTGTATATGAAATTTAAAAGAAAATAAACTAAATTATCTTTATATTTTAATAATTGTTGTTATTTAGGTCTCTTTCACATTGCTTGCTTTAACGGGATATCCCGATCCTTGATAGGATGACAATGAGACCATACATAAGACAAAAAATTAGTCTTCTTCATTTTTTAGCATAGGTCTGTGACATGGCTATCCCTATCATATCGCATTCCATCTCATAAATACCTTTAATTCAAATATTTCAACGATTAGATATGAAATGGTGTTAGTCAAAAAGGACATGCATTCTTTACGCACATTATATCACATTCAAATATTATTGAGCTCAAATCTCAAATGAAAATGACTCTCTTAAAAATAATGTCTATATATCAAAATGTTGAGATTATGACTTAAATTTTTAAAATTTTTTGTGATTATTTTAATATATTATTTTGATATGAATCTATCATATCCTTATTTAATATTTTAGGAGATATTTATTATCATCCAAGACAATATTTTTAGTTAATAAAAAGCTTTATATATATCTTATCTCTCCATCTCCTATATAAAATACAAGTATTGCAATTCTTATTTTTTATAGTGAAATTACTCGCTCATTATCTAAAGGTATTTTGTCCCTCAAATTGAGAGATTTCTCACGTTAAATTTCTTATATTACCTTTTATTACTTTTCTCTAACTTCTCTATTATTTTGTATTATTTTATTCTATTCACGCTCACTTCCTAACACAAACTCATATTCAAGACCTCTTATTTAAGTGGTCATAGTTATTACCCATACTTACTGCTAGAGGACATGTATTTTATAAGAAGATGAATTTCTTGAATTACAAACTTTAAAATATAAGAAGTGATATAGGTGAGAGATGAAAACTCATATTTTCATGACACAACAAGATCGGCATCCCCAATTCCACACATAATGTTTATATTCCTAGCAAAAATAGATTATATTTGCAGTCCCAAACTCCTAATATTGCGTACAATTAGAAAAATATATCACATGTCTCATGTATTATAAATAGCGTAAATATATACAAGATATTTGTTTGATAAGAAAATAATAAATCACACTATGTATGAGTAATAATTAACGCATTTATTTATAAAATTGGGATGATAAAATTTTTAATCTCTTAAATTTGCTCGATTATTGATTTTAGTCTATAAAATTTAATTTTTATTGATTTGGTCCTTTGTAATTTCTTAAATTATTGTTTGGATCTTTTAAGTTCTCAAACACAAATTGATTATCAAAACAATCTAATGTATAAGATATATTGATAACTTAGCATGTATATATAGCCAAATGAAAACAAATTAATTTTTAAATTAGTTTAATTTTTATTAATATAATTATCAATATTATGTTATATTATATTGTATTATTATAAAAATGGAGAAATTAGCATATAATGTGATAACTCATTAAATGTGCATATAATTATGATTATATTCATAGTTATCTTTAAAACCAATTTGAATGACGTGGCATGCTAATGATGAGTTGATGACCAATCAAAAATATTAAACTTAAAAACTCTAAAGCTGAGATGTGTGAATTTTTATGGTTTTTTTTTAACATTTTTTGTCATTTTATTATTTTTTATAGGGTTAAGGTCAAATTTTATCTCTATACTTATTTTCTAAAAGCATTAAGCACTCTATATTTTTAAGTGGGGCAATTTTATTCCTAAAGTATTTTTTTGAGGAGCAAAAAGTTTTCTCTATTAATGAACCATTAACTCTACTCTTATATGCTGACATGATATGTCCATGGGGCTCATATATAGTAACAAGTAAGATTCTGAGTATGTCTTTTAATATTAATTTGCCCTAAATTTTTTTTTTCAAGAGCAATTAACACCTTAAAATTTTTTTTAGGAGCACTAAGTATATTAAAGTCTTATTAAAATAAAATTAAATAAATATTTTTAAAATATTAAATATTTTTATATTTAATAATTTAAATATTATTATTCATAAATATTCATTCAAAATTTATAAATTACTTCTTAAATATTAATAACTCAAACTAAAATTTTATAAATTTATAGATAATTTTTTAAATTTTTAATATTAGTTAAGCTTCTTAATTTTTTGTCAACTAATAATTTTCCTCTAAAATATTATATTATACAAATTTAATAATCTCTGTACGTTGTAGCGTTATGAGTAAAATAAAAAATATGACAATCAGGACCAAAAAATAATAATTTCAATATTAT